TCTTGATGCGTATGCCACGACTTTTCCGTCTTGCATGAGTACACATCCCAAGCCATTATGAGATGCGTCACTAAAGATTGTGTAGTCTACACCTGGTACTGGTTGGGTCAGCGCAGGTGCTTCTGTCAGACATTTCTTTAGTTTCTCAAAGCTTTGCTGACATACATCGGTCCATACAAATTTCACATCTTTTCTCAGAAGTTTGTTAAGTGGAGTTGCGATCGAGGAAAAGCCTTCAACGAATCGTCGATAGTATCCAGCTAATCCAAGAAAGCTTCTCACTTCACGAACATTCCTTGGAACCTTCCACTCGGTGATGGCAGATATTTTACTGGGGTCTACCTTAACACCTTCTTGAGAAATCACATGTCCCAAAAACGTAACTTCATTAAGCCAAAATTCACACTTTGACAGTTTGGCATATAGTTTATGTTCCCGTAGTATGCTGAGTACTATATCCAAATGTTTTGCATGGTCTTCTCAATTCTTCGAATAGACAAGAATATCATCGATGAATATAACCACGAATTGATCAAGATAAGGTCGGAATACACTATTCATGAGATCCATGAATACTGTTGGAGCATGGGTCAAACCAAAGGGCATTACCGTAAACTCATAATGACCATAACGAGTACGGAACGCAGTCTTTGGGATGTCCTCTTTCTTTACAGGGATTTGATGGTATCCTGACCGTAAGTCAATCTTAGAGAATACAGTAGATCCTCTAAGCTGATCAAATAAGTCATCGATACGAGGTAAAGGATATTGATTTTTGATTGTGACTTTGTTCAATTGACGGTAATCAATGCAGAGTCTCATCGAGCCGTCTTTCTTTTTGACGAGCAGGACGGGTGCTCCCCAAGGGGAAACACTCGGACGTATGAATCCTTTATCGAGTAGTTCTTGTAGTTGAGCCTTCAACTCTTTCATTTCAGCAGGAGCCATGCGATAGAGAGTTGCAGATATCGGTCATGTTCCAAGAACAAGATCGATGGAAAATTCTACTTCTCTGAAAGATGGTATACCAGGAAGTTCGTCAGGAAATACGTTAGGAAAACCACATACTGTCGGTATGTCTTTCAACTCAGGAGTTTCCTTTTGTGTGTCACGTACGTTACACAGATAAGCTTCACATTTCTTTCGAATGAGACGCCCAGCGTGTATGTACGAGATGAATTCAGTGGATCTAGGTGTCAGATTCTCTTTCACCTCTATAGACTTTCCCTCTCCAGACTTTAGTTGAATTGATTGTCGTCGGCAATCGATAATTGCTTGGTGTTCGGTGAGCCAATCCATTCCGAGGATGATGTCAAATTCTTTGTACGGTAATTCGACAAGATTGGCAGAGAACTAATGTCCTTCAACAATCAATGGACAGTCTTGATACACATGATCTAACCTCATACTATGTCCTAACGGGTTAGACACTAGTATAGGTTGTTCAAAGTTTTCTTTCATTACGTCAGCCTTGTCAGGCATAGGCACGCAAATATAAGATAACGTTGATCCAGGGTCTATCAACACATGCATGACAGAATCAAATAAGGAAAACATACCCTAAATGACGTCAGGGTTTTCCTCAGCTCGTGCCTTCATTGCATAAGTATGAGCAGGAGCTCGTCCCTGTTGCTGACTCTGGTTCTTGGCCGGATTAGATCCCGCCGTTGATCGTTGACTTGGCGCAGGTCGTGCTGATGGTGATTGGCTGACAACTGGGGCTGTCGGAAATGGTTTGCCAGGATTATTGGGGCAATCCCTTCGAAAATGTCCAGGTTTGCCACAACCTAGACATAATCCTTGGGCAAGCCAACACTCGCTTGGATGATGTCTCCCACATGTATCGCACAATGGGTGTTTCCACCCTCTTGATTTGTTTTCCGACGCCATAGAGTGCGTCTCCACCGATTTCCCCTTCTTTGAGAAGTGTGAATTGCTAGATTCCTGGAAGGACCTTTTTCCTTTTGAGATAGAGCTGATGGGACGGTGAGTGCTTGAACTGACATTATTGGTCTTCAGATACTCAATGCAAGCACTCAAGTCGCTATCTGCTCTGGCTATGAGATCATAGGCCTCCGCGAAATCCACGGTGGTTAGGACGGACACACGCGACCTAAGGTCAGGTCGAAGTTTCTTCCTGAATTCCTCGATGCGATCGGTTGGGGTACTCACCAAGGTTGGTGCAAACTTAGCAAGACTGGTAAACTTCTGACGATACTCGGGGAGTATCATGTCTCCCTGTTGCAATTCGACAAATTCCTTACGTTTTTCTTCACTAAAACGTTTTGGAATATATTCTTGTTTGAATGCCCATTCGAAATGTGTCCATGTCCATGGCTTAGGGGTTCCTGCACTCTCATCAGTCCTCTTCCACCACTCGTAGGCTTCCTTGCGAAGCAGCTGAGACGCCAGTCGGGGATAGTTGCCAATGGGTACATTAAGATCCTCCAACACTTGAGCAGTCTGCTCGATCCAGTCCCATGCAATTTGGGGTTCACCGATGCGATCCCCAAGGAATAATTCCGCACCGTTATCCCTTAATGTTTTGTAGGTTATCACTCGCGGTGGCGGTGGTGGAGGTGGTTGAAACATTGGTGCATTGGCTATCTGTTGTAATACATTTGCTAGGAATGTGGGAATCACAAGGTCGGGTTGACCATCAGCGTTCGGGTTATTCCCAACATTTTGTTGATTTACGGGTTCATTTTGGATGGGAGGGGTAAAGCTAGATGCTTCAGTATGAACACTGACGTGTTCATTATTGTTGCCTTGTCCGTGGGCAGATTCTTGACTCATTCTACAATAACAGAAATTCCTTTATTAGGATTCTTTTATTCAGTAGTTGAGTTTAAGACAGGAATTGCAAAGGATTACAACAGTTGATACAATCAATGGATTTGAAACCAACAATAAGATAATTTTCTAAGCGTTTGCGTT